GGGTGACTACAGATGCGGTGGTGGCTAGACTGCCATTGCAGTCAGTAGAATCAGGAAAACCAACAGACCGGTGAGGACAGCTTCCATTGCTTGAACATCTGCAGCAGTGCCATTTCTAGTGCTGTGTGATATTCTGCCTGGTCTCCATGTGCTGTTGTGGAACAGTCAAGAACTCTTGCAAGTTTGTCTGTTACAGGGCTGTAAAAGTTAAAATCTGTAATTTTAAATGTAATATAATATACTTATCCTGCTTTCTGCTGGTTAAGGAATAGTCAACAGCTGTGTTCTTTGTGAGCTAATTCCTTTGTACACTTGTATTTCTCAGCAAAACTTACGACTTCTGTCATGATGACAACTAAAACCACCCTGATGTTTTCTAGGCACAGATTTTCACTGATTTGTCTCTATTCTGGTGTCTTTTTTCCCCTCTAAATAGAGTGCTGGACTTGCTTTCAGCCATAAGGCTCCTATGCGTTCTCTTTGCTTTTCTCTTAGCAGTGTCCGATAGAAAGCAAGCCTACAGCCTACAACAAAGAGAAAAAAAATAAAAAGAAATAAACATGCAAAGGCATTTTTCTAAAACCTGCCCAATCAGTTTTGAACTGCTTTTTGAGGGTGGACATAATCTAACTGCTCTAAGTGCACTGAGAAGAGGCATGAAGCATGAAATTTTGCCTGAATGCATGGCCATGCTACGTGTTGGAGGCCTTTTTTAGACATGTTCCCTCTGGGGGACAGCAGTACCCTCTCAGCCCCTGTTGATGTCTGGGCAAGCCCTGCCAACTGTCTCGCTGCATGACAGGGCCAGACTGCCAGCTAGCACCAGGCAGAGGTTCTACAACTTGTCTAGGCAAGTTTGTCCCTCCAAACACCCATTTTCCAAAACCTTTGCATTATGTTTGACCTGAATATAGGGAATCTTGCCACAGAGATTTAGAAGTTGGGCGGGACACCTGAGGATATGTTTGTTCTCTACTGAGAAGTCCAAAGAAATAGTTATAGGACATACAACTGCTGCAATTTTGGCAGGAAAACAAAATTCCCTCCTGAAAACATTTCAGAAATGTGCGTATCCCAATGGAGAACTGAAGGGAGTGTGCTGTACGGCGGAGGGAGTGGGAGAGGAGCTAATGAGGAGAGACCTGTATAAGCTGTTCTCCATCTATTATTTTTTATGCATCCTGTCCAGAGGGATGGAGGGGGGAAAGCAAAACTTACACGCATTGCTGTGAAATTACAGGGCAAACAACTTCTAGAAAGAAAAGAGCCGGCATAAATTGTTGCACTATATGAAATAAAAGGCCTACATCTTTCCAAGGATGCTCATGGGCATCTTCCAGAAGCCAGAACATTGAGTCTCACGTGCTGATATTTGAATGGATGGTGGGTCTAGGTTGTGAGCTATTTCTCTTTAGCCGAGAAAAGATTTCTGCATAGTAGGAAAAAAAGGATTTGGCATCAGATTCCCGCAAGGGGAAGCTGAATTCTTCTAGCCAGCCTGTCTCTTGGTACTGGAGGGTAAGGCCTTCAGTCCATGTCTGTCTAGCCCTGGACAGCTATATGTCTCAGAAAAGCCCAAATTAAGGAGCAGTTGGCACTGTAAATTGTTGCTCTCCAGTGTTTATGTGTCAAAACCCATCGCCCTCAGCCAACGCAACAGACACCCATGTTTCAGTGATGTGCATGCTAAGCAACAACAATTTATTCAAAAGCAGGGAAAGCAATGGAGAACACATTTGGGTTTACTCTACACCATAAAGCTTTTTGCATTAAAAGTGAAAGGTACATGAGGCTTTGTAGCAGGATCCGGTGACTTGATCAGTAAGGGGATTGAAAGCAAATTCCTAGGTTTAGAAGAAATTTTCATTGCTCTTGAATGGACAGTCCATAAAGTTTCTATACATCCCATGGGCTGCACAAGAAAAAAAAAGATTCAGATTCTCTTTCTGCTTGTATTCCCTCCCTACTTACTCTCAGTCCATGCATATTTTCCTCTTGGGTATAAATACTTTCCACATTATCTAATGTCATGTGTAGTCATGCTGGGACAGCCCTGTGCATTCATACCTGTAAATACTCATGAGTAAGAAGAGCATTTTCGTATTGCTTCAGGAAAAGGAGGGAATTAAATTGATATCCCTTAATATTGGGGTGAATGCATTCATTCCTGGATGAAAACAGAAGGCTAACTTTCATGCGATCATTTCTTTTTACAACACCCTTGCACTTCTTGCACACATTTGATGGCACCCAGAGAGCTGTGTTCACCCTATAGCAAAACTGAATTCCCCGCTGTTCCCCACACACCACAGCAGCCCAGTTCTGCAAATACCAAGCCCTGATATTTTGCTCTGGCATAGGAGCTGTAAAGGGGTCAAACAGGGCTGGGACAGCACAAGGCTGACATCTCTGACTTTATCCTTCTTGATGGGGTGGATCATGGTGCACATGTCAGGAGAAAGAGCACCATGGAGCTCAACCTACTTCAACGCTTGAATGTCCTCATGGTGCAATAAGTTTTTTCCTTATATCCACCCTGAACATTCAATAGCACGTTGGGGTTAAGGACTCAGGCAAAATAGATTTCTCTGCTCATACTGCAGATAAACCTTGGTGAATGTCCAACTCACAATTTGCAGCAGGAGCGGAATCCAAAGCAACTTCCAACTTTTATCAGATGGAAGGGACATCTTCCAAAATGACAGGTCCCTTTTCTACAAAGAAACATGTCCCTTTGGGGTGAAGACAAACCTGCAACAATAACAAAAGTTTTATCCAGTAGTGGTTAAAATGTGCTGGGAAATTTATTTCAGGTGCACAAAAATCCCCCCGTAGCATCTCTTTTCCACCTTACCTGGAGACACCTGGAGTGCCAAGAAGAGGAGAGAAAAGAGCAGGTAAAGGATCTTCATGACTGAGGATTTGCTGTATCACTGTAGGGAAGAGGACCAAGAAAGATGTATGGCAGACAGTCCCTGGGATCTACAGTCTTCTGAACTGTACAAATACTGTCTTAACCAAAATGGCATTTATAGTGCCTTTTTCTTCAAACTTTCAAAAACAACCACTAAGACCCATACGCCATCATGACTGCTGTGTGAGCATTTCTGGGAACAGTAAACATATATGGGGCAACACACTTTCAAGATATGTGATCATTAAGTTATTTTAATAGTTTGCTAGCTTGAATTTCTTCCACATTTTGCAAATAGTCCTTTGCCAAAATGCAATCACGAATTTATTTTTAGTTAGACTTTTATCGAATGAATAAACAACACTAAGCAAAATGAGGTGGTTATATGGTCAGCTTACAAACTTCAGGAAAAAAATGTTCATATTGCAAGGTTAAAATTTATCAAGAAATAACAGCTAAAATCAGCTTGCTTAAAATCTTCAGTCTTAGTCTACAGGCAGCAGTTCCAGTATGGAAATGTACAACCAAATCAGTTCCTGTTTGACAAATGAAATTTGAAGAATGAACATGTAAAGCCTTCATTGAAAGAGTTAATAACGGAACTAATAGCAGCAAAATGGGGTAAGATCACCTAGAAGAGGGCTTATGGGTTAAGAAGGGGTAGTTAATGTCATGGAACTTGTCACTAGAGAACCTCCTGATCTGTCACAAATTGTATTCTCTTCAGCAAGGAAGGGAAATGAGGTTGCTCTGCAAACGAAATGGCAGAGGGTGTCTCAAACCAGCTTTGAAAATAGTATTAGAAGTTTATACAAATGTCTATACGTTTGAAAATATCAGGAGAAACAAGTCGGCAAAGTTGACAGTTCTGAAAATTAAATGAAGTTCTTAACATAGAGACATAGATAAAAAATATACACTGGTTTCCATCAAAGAGACCACCAATTTCCCTGGACCACAGACATCTCTAATCTGACCCTACCATATTTTTTCCTATGAGTTAGTAAGCAGAGTATTTTTATCAAATATTCTAGCTATTAGCACATATTTGAACTACATATTCAACCTGTGCAGTTTCTGGAAAACTTAGATTAATCTTTTTTAGCAACCCACAAATGAGGTTAATGATGCAGAGGTTTGGGGTTTTGGTTTTAGGGTTGTGGTTTGGGGTTTTTTTGGGGGTTGGTTGGTTTGGGTTTTTTTTTGAGAAAAAGACAGCAGCAGATGCAGTTTCTGGAAAACTTAGATTAATCTTTTTTTAGCAACCCACGAATGAGGTTAATAATGCAGAGGTTTGGGGTTTTGGTTTAGGGTTGTGGTTTGGGGTTTTTTGGGGGGTTGGTTGGTTTGGGGTTTTTTTTGAGAAAAAGACAGCAGCACGCATTGAAAGAAAGACTGAAAAGAACTGAGAAGTTACCAGGTTATCAGGTGGGTCCCAGAAGCCAAACAAGACCTGGTCTTGGTCCTTTCCTTCCAGAGGGCTTTGGCTGTGGGGCTGAGATCCTCTTTTATAATGTGTTTCCTAAGAGGGGTGGCAACTGCTTTCTCTTCTCAGCAAGCACACACTGAGCCAATCAAAAAATTACCCATTTTTTTAGTGACTTCTTATCCAACCAGCATCAAGTTGCTTTTCATTTCCCGGTGAAAAAAAACCAGGGTTTCTCTCCAAACCTACTGAAACTTTTCTTCTGGAAAATCCCAAGTTATTCATGCAATACCTCTTGTGACACTCCAGTTTGTGTAAGATACGTTAAGCCACTGTGGTATGTGTCAAACATCTTGGGATGTACGTTGAACTGTTCCTGCTTGGGAGCAACATAATCCATTGCAATATAAAACATCTGTGTGCTTCTCTGCACTCCCAGTTAGGTTGTTTTCTGTTCCACAGATACAGAATGTAAGAACACAGAATGGACATAGGAGACTAAAACAAATGTCCATTGGCTCAGTGGCTGGTGGCCACTCAGGATGCCGAAGTAAAAAGCATATAATGTACAGAAATAAGGTGAGTGCATTGTGGCTGTGTCCCTGTACACCCTTCCAGCTGATGGAAAATACATGAGTTTAGGGAAATCCAGTGCCAGAGGTTGTCTCTGGACCCCCAGGCTGCAGAGCTCCCGATTGAGCTTTTTTCCGTGACTCCGGCTGATCTCCTTGTCCTTATCACCTCCACAGGACCTTCAGCTGATAATTCCACAAACATATTATGCCTTAGGTGAGCATTCATTTTTTTGATTATCTGCTCTCAGTCTGCCAGTTGGTCATCTCTGCTTTTTCTGCCATGGGAAGTGGCAAATAAATATTCCATTTTCACCTCCTTGTGCTGTGGTCTTTTCTTACACTCCCTGTCTGTCTGTATTCCCACACTGAAAAGAGGGATTCTGTCAACCACATCTGTTACCTAAGTTTTCTAAATGGATCCAGATATTTCAGCGGATCATTCCTGTTGTACATTTACCTTATATTCTCAGATCTATTACACCCTTTTGGGAATGGGCTGGCTAGAATTGCATGCAATGTCCAAAAAAAAAAATGCTTAGGGACATGGTTTAGTGGTGGGATGGCAGGGTTAGGGGAACGGTTGGACTTGATGATCTTAAAGGTCTTTTCCAACCTCAACGATTCTATGATTCTAAATGCATCTTGGATTTGTGTCGTGCCTAATCATATTTATTCTTTTGTTTTCAGCTCCTTTTCTCCTGCTTAATTCCTAACGTTTGCCTTGTCTTTTTGTCCGCAGGTAACACTGACATTTCTAGAGCGGCATCCACAGTGAAGTCTACAATTGCATTAGTGCAGTTTTGAAGGAACCCCTAGACGCTCCCCTGCGACTTCATGCTGGTTCGGTTTGCAGAGGGCTTTTCACATGTGCAAACTAGATTCCTTAGGAGGAAAATGAGTGGGAAGTTTTGCTTTGAAGGTACTCCAAAGGTACTCTGAAGGTACTCCAGTGCCTAGTGGGGCATGAACCAATGTGTGGGCTACATCACCTCAAGGTCCTGTAGAGAGTACATAGCATTTCTGTCTTTTGGAAACCTGGAGAATTTGGACTGCAGGATCAGCCATTTTAGGAGAGGCTGAAGGCCCCACCTTTGCTCAGCTTGGAGAAGGCATGGCTAAGTATCATCTAATCGATGTTCACAACTAACTAATAGTAGCTATAGAGAAGATGAAGCCACAGTCAAAAGTACACAGTGGAAGGATGAGGGGTAACGGACACAAATTACAATGAGAGAAATTCCAGTTAGATATAAGGAAAAAAACCCTCTCTCAATGAGGGTTGTCGAACACTGGAATGGGGGCCCAGAGAATTTATAGAATCTTGATTCCTATATAGATATTCAAACTCAACTGGAAAAGGCTCTAAGTAACCTGGTCTATCTTTGAAACTGGCTCTGTCTGGAGGGGTGGAGGGACCAGATAGTCTCCAAACACGCATTTCAACCTACATTGTTTTGTGGTTTATTCAATAGTAACATCTGAGTCAAACTGAATTCATAAATCCATATAACGAAGAACTGAGGAGCCCCAGCACAATCTCTAAGGTCTAGTGATCCTTTCCTGTCTACTGATCTTCCATTGCACCAAGTCACTTGTTAACATACCCAATAACTGTACAAAGACATCAGTACTAAACACATTTTCAGATCATATTTTACTTTACACCTCACTTCAGTCAACAAACATTGTTCATGCAATGTTTTGACGCCTGAAGTGCATCCTAATAGGTTAGGATAAGTTTGCTGTTTTGAATGACTAGTGTTTCTTATTGGCCAAGATGTCTTCATATGACACCATGTCTTACAGTCATTTAGCATCAAAACTAAACTGAAATATTTTAATTGCTTATTGGTTCCTCAGTTCAGTTACTAGTGATGTGCTTTTTTCCAATACTCTGGTATTAATTTCTTAAGTGTACGGAAGTGTACAAATATGCATTTATGCACAAACACTCATAGATGCATCTGAAAACATGTCTACAAACAATTTCCCTTAAATGCATACCCTGATAACTGAGGTAGCTTTCTATTTTCTACATATTTTTATAAGCGAACTGGTTTTGCAGTAGGGAAAAATGACAGCTGAATTTCTGGTGTGCCTATGAACTTCTGACCGTAAAGAAGAAAAGGGAGGGAATAAAATTACAAAAGTTGCAGTTACTTCACAACTTGCCAAGAGTCTGTGGTTAGGTTACCTACCAACTGTAACTGTTACTCAACCTGATTCCTCAAGGAAACAAAGATGCATTGGTAATTTGTACCACGTCCAGGTCCTATGCGCAAGTAACGTCAAGGACTTGGCTTTAACGCTGAATATCCTTGACAATGATAATTAGAAATTCTACATGGTCACTCCCATCATTACCATAGAATTGTCTTTTCCTGGAGATGGCTAAGGGAGAAGCAGAGGAGGGCTGGAGCACTTTGAGTTGTCCAAAGCTCATAGCGGTGAGGCAGGCGTTATGGAGATTTCAGTTTGTGGCTCTTAGGGTGGAAAACCTTTCCATCTCTGCCTGCAGCTCCTGTTTTCACGAGCAGGAGGCAGTCAGTCAGTTTTGAACATGAGGAGGGAAACATCAGCGTTTTGCCCTTCACAATCTCAGTGGTTTTCTCCAGTGCCTTTTGCTGGTAGAGCTGACTTACACCAGGATCACAGCAGCACCAACTACACGGTCCTTCACCCAGGATACCTGGGTAGGAAAGTGCATGGGATCCAGCCCAGCTAAGTTGGCCAGCACCTTACAGTCATTTAGCTCTTGACAACAGGTAAGTAATCCTCTCTACCCAAAACACCATCTATTTTCTAATCGTTTTCAGTGCAGAGGGAAAGGGAGTCTTCATGGAGAGTTTCCTGCTTAAATAATGTTTCTTTTGTTTTCTTGTTTCACCAAATTGAGAGGATGACCTAGTTACATTTCTCTCTATCTCCATGGCAAGTCTTCACTCCAGGTTCTTCAAGTTGGACTTCACCAGTGATGCTGCACTCCCCCACCCATTTCAGGTCCAGATCACCCAGTCCTCTGTGGAGAAGGAGAAATGCTATGATGGGGTCAGCATTTTATGTAATAATCTAATGCTTAGAGCCCTGGCACAAGAACTGATAGATGGAGCCTGAAGCAATGCTCTGCCTGATGCAGGTGGGGTGCACTATTAAGGGAAGTGTTTTCAGTGAGGTTGCAGAGTGCTGTGAAGAGAAATGGCTTTCCCCCTTTTCAAATCAAGATGTTTGGGTAATTGTGCTAAGATCACTTCCCAAAGAGGAAGGAGGGTCTTACCTCCATCTCAGGAGTCTGTATCAGGCACAGCAGATGAGGTGATAAGGAGCAAAAGGGAGAATCTCAAACTCTGCTCTTAATAGTTTTCTGATAAAAAAAAAGCAAAACCAGCAAATATTAGGGAGGTCTCTCAGTACTGCCACCCCTATTTAAATGGTACTACACAAAATGCCAGTCTGCTGTTCCATCCCTCGCCTCCAGAGGACGGTTTGTTCATGGCAATGAAGGCTGCAGGCATCTGGAAGTCATTGAAGGCAGGCATAGCAGGAACATCAGGGCCAACACAAGGCTGAGCCCTAGCAGCTCGCCAAGGAGCAGATGGTTTAGTGTGCTCTAAAGAGGAGGAAGGTTGAACAAGTGATGATGGTGGCCTAGCTAACCGCAGACTGCTCCTCAGTCAGACGGTAACATCATCCCTTTGTGTGCACTGAACCAAATTCTAGCTGTAAGGCATAACTGATGCGCGGGAGGTCAAGGTATTTTGATGCCACTGTGGGGTAGTGTAGAAATTCAGACTCCTCTAGAGCAGCTGAAAAAGCTGTTAGCAGGAGTTGCACTGCCAAAGTAAATCCACCAAAAGGAGCATAACCAGTATTTAGATGCTGTTCTATAATCGTAAGTCAATTTGCAAGGCGTGTACTACATTATAGTTAACAGATAAAGTTTTGACCCAACTGTAGATCACCTGAATCAATACCAAGTCGATGCACAGTCATAAACTTCAAACAGTGCACAAAAAGAATTTAATCAAGTTCAAGACTTTAATGATTACATAATTATCTTGAGTAACCAGGGAGAAATTATGAGATTAACATCTCTATGAACAAATCTGCCCTCCATCTTATTTTTTGACTTGACAGCTAATTGAAGGTATCAGGATACCGGCACAGAGTCCAGCCTCTTGGTGTAAGGACCACACAGTCAATGGCAGGCATGCAGCGTGTGTTCAAAGCTCCTTGGCAGAGGCCGTGTAGCCCAAAGTTCCTAAAAAGCAAAGAATCCCTGTAAACTTAATCATATTTTCCCGAGACAAATAGCAGGGGTGATCTCACCAAACGTTAGATGTCCTAAAGGTAAACATTAAAGTCCAAGCTATTTTCACTGCTCTTCCTTTATAGTTAAGGGAGAGAAATTGTTCAACTGAAGTACAAACATTTATGGTAAGAGTGCTAGAATAAACGTGAAAGTAACATCAAGGAAATACAAGAATGCCAGAAATGTTGCAT